CTGGTGTTTCTGCACAGCACAGCACCTGAGGCATCAATCAGGGCGTTGGCCGTCCTGTCTGGGCGTTTTTTTTAACAAAGAAGAGAACTGGGACTCACAGACTTAGGCAACCGTGTCTGGGCTAGAACTCACTCAGGTGTAAAGTCTTAGTCTGAAGACATTTTTTTTTTTTTTTTAATGTTTGTTAAAACAGACTAAAAATGACATTTCCTGTTATTGGAGACCAGTAGGAGGCACTGTGACAGCCTCACTCTGCCCCGTCAGAGTGTACGTATGTGGAGACACAGGAGGTAGAGGACGGCCAGAATTTTCCTGCACTTTGGTTTGAAATCAATCTGTCAGTGTAAACAAACAGGCAGTTTCTATGTGGTCCTTTTGTTTCACAACGAAGAGGAAATCGTTCCAGGAAAAGACGTCAAAAAAAAACGCTGTGGAACTCTGTGCTGGGGGTGTTGTGCCATGCAGAGATCTGTGGACAGGTTAATGAGAGCTGGCGTGCTGCGGAGCCTCTGTAGCCGTGCAGCAGCTTGTCTGGTAAGAGCAGCAGCCACATTCCTGAGAGATTGATAATTACCTACTGAGTAACTCCTCTCCCCAAATCTGCTTTCACCCCCCCAACACACACACACACACACCAAGCCCATATCTTCGTCGCAGTACAGTACAGTCTGGTACAGTACAGTCTGGTACAGTACAATCTGGTACAGTACAGTACGGTACGGTTCCAGCTCTGTTTCTGCTCCTCCTGAATTAACACCATAATAAACAAACTTCACTGTGACGACAAACCAACGTGATCAAACATTTAGTTCGACGACAACACGACGACAAAAAAACTGGCAATTTAATAAACCAACACAACTTGGAATGGAATGTTTTTAGTAAAAAAAAAAAAAAAAAAAAAGTCCTAAACCAAGTCCATGTGTTAGAGCTGGATTAACAACATGTCAGGTCAAGAAGAAGAAGAAGAAGAAGAAGAAGGAGGAGGAGGAGGAAGATCCACGGCAGAAAAAATAAAAAAGAATAAGACGTCAGAGTTACTTTGGGTTAGTATTACTGTAGTATTTATGAAGTGCTCCTGTGTATTTGCTGTCACATTGAGTGTGATATGTACTAGTTTTCAGTTATATATTTTTCTTTTACTAACAAAATGCATGTTGCTCACACTCCCATGCCTTTAGGGGGTGCTATAAACACAGTCTGACAGCTGCTACATATATTCCAGCACAACACAACCTTATTTAAAACATACAAGTACACATTTTAAAACCTTTTATATACACATATATATACACATATATGTATATACACTAGCTATTGAAGTAATCCATGCATTGTTGATGTAATTTAACAACATACACATTACGTTGAGTAGAAATCCCAAAATATTAGTCAAACATTTCGAAACCATTTTTCTACCCCTCTGCGATCACCCTGGGGTGGTGTGAACCCCCTGTTGAACACCTCCAATATAACTTACCTATAATAATGTTAACATTGCGACTACTCATTGATCCGATTGAGTCACTTCGGTCAAAAACACAACTCTTGTATTTATACTGTAATTATACTGCACATAAAAGTACACGCTGTCCTCAGGCCAAACAAATTTCACATTCCGAAACCGCTAGATTTGCAACTTGGCTAGCGCCGCAGTCGTCTGGAACACGTTCACAGGGATACAGATGTAAGGGTTATATTTTACGAACCATAACTGGGGCATATACTGTAGTACTGTTTATATTCATTCACTGTTGCAAAGATCGGGTCTGTGAATGAATCAGGCAGTACGAATCTATCAACAGAAAAGTCAAACCATATGTTTCCTAATAAAGAAGCACTTGCTTTTTGAAAGCGAGATCCTCAGATTAATTCTGCCGACCCCTGTTTCGTTCGTTCGTATATTACTGTGTCGAGGTGACCATCAGGTGCATCATGGGAAATTATCCACTTAACCTGTCTGGTTCATCTTTGCTAACATTTAAGGAATGACTCGGAGCTGTTAAAGAAGATCTCTGTCTTTCTTCAATTCCTGCCAGTGTATCAGCGCTGTGTTCAACTAAACAGGCCCAGTATTCACTCTGGGAGAGTAAAGTATTGAGTAAATAAAAACTAATTATCTCAATATTATTTCTTAGTGACATTTTTGCTAATGTAAAATAATTGACGGGGCTCAAACAATGATATTTATCAAATATTTTCTTTTAAATTCGATCATAAAAGACAGATGTTATTCACATTATTCTCTGTCGAAACAAACACATCAGTCATTCTGGAAGTGCGATAAAGAGTGGCTCCAAAAGGCGTAAACAGTTCCATCCTCCTGGACCTAACAGCCAAGTGTTTTTTCCTTCCTCCTCCTGTTGGTTTCACTTCTCACTCTGGAACACTGCGGGTTCCACTGCAGGCGACGTCTGCAGATTTCTTTCTTTCAGGTTCGACAGCCCGAGCGTCAGGCGCCTCAGCTGATCACAAATCATATTTAATAACAGGAATAACTCTATTACGGCCTGAAGAGTCACAGAGGAAGCTGCAGCCAGCGGCTGATGAAATTAGACCAGGGTGGATGAATGTATCAGCATCCGTCCATCCTCCCAGTGTTCAGTGTCACTGTCTCACCGAACGTCGAGTCTTTTTGACACGTGATCGTGGAAACGGTTGTTGATTTTTAAACAAACGTAAAGAACGATCTCCAAGTCTGGAAGTCAAAGCTGTATTTGTTTCTCTTCAGGAGAAAGTATTCAGTGGTAGAGACACACACAGACACAGACACACACACACACACACCGCTGTGAAGTCTCTTGTTTGTGTTACTTCAACAAGGTTGCCAGGGGTCCACGTCTGGACCGTAGCCTCTGAAAGAGCTTAAGACCCTTGAACTGACAGGTCAGCGTTGGGCATGAAAAAAAATTTTTAAAAAATAAAGAGGTTTTCAGCCTTCAGTGAAAGCAAACAGAGCCGGGGTTTAAAAATACATCCTGGCACTTTGGTGTTTCTACGGAGCCCGTGTCAAAACAAACACACACACAAAAAAAAACTCTACAGTTGTAGTGAGTTTCTCCTGGAGTCATGAGGGTCAGACGAAATAGTAGAGTGGATATAAAAAAAATACAATTAAAAAAAAAAAGTATCGAGTGGAAGTGACGTCTTCTACTGCATGGACGTTGACGAGTCACTCATTGGTCAATCACGTTGATTAACGACACGCTGTTGTCCTGCCGATCAGCTGTCAATCACTTACAACAGGTCGGCATCACACACACACACACACAAGGTCATAGGACCCAAAATTTGACGGGGGGGGGCAGGTCAGGAGCAGATAGATGGAGCGTACATGTGAACCAGTGGTTCTCCATTATCTTCTGTCATGCTCCCCCTTGAGGACAGAAATGTTTTCGCACCCCCCCCCCTCACCGACAAACACCCCCGTGAATTGAAATACTCTTGAAAACCTGATAACGTGTATATTTCTATCTGTACAAACCACTGTATGAGTTGCTGCCCCCTAGTGTCTGGAGGCTTTTTATCATTAAAGCTTAACAGCAGTGGTGGACACTAGGTGAGAAGTGCTGCTGTAAACTACGATAAACGACATGTAAAAGTGATGCATAAAAGGTAAAACGTTAAAGATGCTTTCCGCCGTTTTTACGCCATCTATTGGGGAAATGCAGGGATTGCAGGGAAAAGGCAGGAAGTATAATGGTAAAATATGAATTCATAACATAATTTGGAGCAGTTTGGCGGGTTTTGATTAAAAGGCCGAACGGGCCGCATCTGGCCCCTGGGCCGTAGGTTTGCCCAACACCAGTAGTTCCTGCTCCCACTGTAAACAAACTCTGCTGAACTCAAGGCTGAACTTGAACTTTTCTATCCGACTATCGGCCAAAGTCCATCAGACCTTCAACTCAACTCAGACACAGACCCTCAGCCGGTCCAGTCACCTCCCCCCCACACACCTCCACTTGCACCCGTGTGTTATCATTCCATCACATCTTCCCCAGACTGGACCATGTGACTCTCTCTCTCTCTCTCTCTCTCTCTCTCTCTAATGCTTACATAACACACCTGCAATCACCATGGGTACAAGCCCTGGCATGGCAGACTAGCTGAGGACGGAGCACCAGTATGTGACACACCCTTCTCAAACAAATGGCTGTGTCTCAGTTCTCATGTCTCACCTACCTCAAAGTACCAGAGGTAAACTTGAAGCCACTGCCGGAGCAGGGAAGAAAAAAAAAAGGAACAACAAGTGGTGACGCGGCCAAGTCACAAGTATTGCAAAAAAAAAAAAAAATTGATTCAAGGTTTGTTTTAGTCGTGTAAAGTTTAAAGTCCGGCTGCATCAGGCAAACACAGAGGAGGGTGAGGAGGGTGAGGAGGGTGAGGAGGGTGAGGAAGGAGGGAGTCACGTTATCTGTGTCAGGTTAATCAACAAGCACTGACTCCATTATAAGAGTTCCATTGATGAATGTAACGTGTCAACAACGCGGCAGCGTGGTGTTGCAGCAGTCATTAGTGCCAGGTCAGTGTCAGGGGAAATGACACAGTACTCCTCATTGTCACTCCAGCTCCACGGCTGTGAGAAGGAGCAGCTCAGGTCTTGAATTACCTGAGCTCAGGATCCCTCAAGGCCGGGCTCAGCAAATGTCCCACAACTAGTTTTTCATGCATGCCTCCACACACACACACACACACACACTCTCAGCCCAGTCCAAAGCATTTCACCTGAAACTCCAACTTTCACAAGTGAACACTCGTTTTCTTACAACACTGTCGTAAAAAAATGTCGTTTTTTTTCTTTATATATATACATATATATAAGTGCAGTTTTAACAACACGACACGATTCAACAGTTTTTGAGTCAATCCAGACTCGGTCTCTACTGTAGTCTGGTTCTTTTATTTAACTAAATTAAACGTATTTTTTACGAAACGACGTAAAATATGGAGTTAAGTTTGGGTCAAATCGAAACGTCAAAGTGTCATTCTGGTGCTCGTACCTTGTTAACGTGCAGAGTTTAAAGGGTTGGTTCAGCCTCTCTCCATTGGAAGCCGTTTTCCCGGTTCTGAGCTTCTTCTTCTTCTTCTTCTTCTTCTTCTTCTTCTTCTTCCCCAGATTCAAACTCTTAGCGTCCGGAGCGAAACTTCAGGTGTGACATTTCCGTGAAAAAAAAAACGCCTCAGGGAGAGAATCGAGAGCCGAGCACTGGATTTGTTGATTAACGCCGTGCGGAGTTTGGGTTCTTCAGCTCACGGCTGCGAACGCCGACTGAAACGGAGAGAAGTTCCCACTGTCCTCGACCTGTAGCTCCCACCTGGAGGAGGAGGAGAGGAGGTGGAGGTGGAGGGCGGGGAGGAGAGGGGGGAGAGAGGTGGAGGTGGAGGTGGAGGTGGAGAGCGGGGAGGAGAGGGGGGAGCGGAGGGCAGGAGGAGAAAGCGCAAAGTAGGAGTAGGAGTAGGAGGAAAGGAGGCAGAACTCAGGCTCAGGTGAGTCACTGATAGGCTGCGGACTGTGTTATTGAGGACATCTAGTGGCGATATGGTGGAACTGCATGTTACACTGAGGAAGTACGAATGAAATGTGTACATCAAGGGAGACTTGTGCGAGAAAAAAAATAGAAAAAGTTTAAAAAAAAGGAAGAAGAAAAAGGACGTTCTATTAAACTTAGATATTATGCAACTGCCATACATTACTGCCCTTTAACATAAACGTGAGATCGATTTATATTTATTGTAATAATTGTTAAATAACACATTAAACTTATTATTAAAATTATTAATTTATCTGTTCATTATTATTATTTTATAAAATGTATATTAAGTAACAGACCTTAAACATTTTAACAAAATATTTTAGCTTTTAAACAACAATAATTATAATACTATTAACACTAATAATAACTATTAAAATATATGACATTAATATATGTTTAAATATCTTAGAGCAGATGTGTCGGGTCATGTGACCGATACTGTACTGCAGTGCACTTTAAAAGGTCAATTCGAGGAACATTGTGTCGGTAATGTGTGGTTGGGCTTCAGTGAACAACTGACTGATTAATTACTGGATTGATTGGTACGGCATGATTGACGATGTACTTTGCAAAAAGAAAAACTGTTAACTTCAAACACTCCTGGGTTTTTGTTTTAAGCAGTTGTTGACTTGATTAACTCAGTCGTGAACTTTACATTTACGTTTTAGGAACATGTGAATCAGGGTTGTCAAACTCACATTCACACTGGGCCAAAATTAAAAACTGGGACAGAGTCGTGAGTCAAAAACTGAATATTTGTTGAAAAATTGACTGCAACTGAATCTGGATCAACCAAAGCTTAATATTATAAACACATGAGAAATTAAATTGGAAATAAAACACACATCAGTGGTATTTGTCTCTTTACCTGTAGCCTTTCCCGTTCCTTTTTAATGCCAATCTTTTTTTTTCACAGGCCAACAACAAAAAAACAGAATGTATTTGCTATAACAGCACATACTTCACTAATACTACAAACCCTGCCAGTATATATGGGCTGTATACTGACGGACCAACACATTTGATATGATCTCGCGGGCCAAATTTAATTAAACCGCGGGCCTGAATTGGCCCCCGAGCCTCATGTTTTCACGCCCAGCGACCGACATCGGGTAAATTGATAACGCCCCGAGCCTCATGTTTTCACGCCCGGGGACCCACACCCGGTAAATTGATAAAGTGTACATATTTGTCTGTACAAACCACTGTATGAGTTGCTGCCACCTAGTGACTGAAGGCCTGTTGTCGTTCAAGCATTACAGCAGTGGTACACTGCACTATATTCAAGCACTACAGCAGTGGTACACTGCACTAGACTAACGAGGAAAAGGTCATTCCCATACCGGGAGTCGAACCCGGGCCGCCTGGGTGAAAACCAGGAATCCTAACCGCTAGACCATATGGGAGTTGACAACCGATATCTTGGTGTATGTATCTCTCTGTGTACTTTGTGTACCTGTACCGGACTCCACGGACCGACAGGAAGTGTCTGCAGACGCCTGGTACTCTTTCTCAGACTCACAGAAAACACAGTGTGTGTAAATATAGTCGCTCCGCTCGTGGCTGACAGTCAAACTCGCTGGGACGAATCCAGAGCATGTGGCCCAGTCCGCCCTGAGCGGTGACACACTTCGGGGTCCCGTGTGGACCGAGAGAGTCTTAGATCGACTTTCCCTCGTGCCCCAGCTGTTATTAATAAACACGGAGCGTTTCTGAAGACAGACCCTGTCAGACCGAGTCCTCCGTCCTCCGTCCTCCAACACCGAACCGCACCGCGATCATCGCCGCCCTCAGACGAAGTAGGTACCGTTGTTGTTTCTGATTTTAATTTGATCAAGTCGGCGTTGCCATGACAACAAAGTATTTTAGGCTCCTCGTGTTTTGTTTATTGGGCCACATTTGAGGCTTGGTGACCTCATCAAGTTGACGGCAACACTGATTGCCTTTGTTGTGTTGATAAAACAAAGTGAAAGTCTTGAAAATTTATTATTTTTAAAATTGGGAATTCTCTCATCCCGACCACTTTTGGTCCTCAGCTGATGGACAATGACGGGACAATAGTTCATGGAGAAGACGCGGCGTCTCCCGAGGACTCTTCCTCGAGGTCGGTGATGATGATGATGATGATGAAGGACAGCTTTCACACGGACTCTGAAACGGAGACGTCCTTCCGTCTGGACGAGCCCGCTCCAGCGCCTCCGCCACCGTCGGACCGAGCCGTGCTGGAGAACCTGGGGAGGCTGTTTGAACACTGCATCCAGCAGGTGTCCAGCCTGGAGAAGGAGAGGGACGAGCTGATCCAGCAGCTGCTCTGCCTGCAGGAGCCTTTGCTGCGGATCGTGCAGCACCTGAGGGCGAAGGTGGTGGACGCTCAGAGGCTGCTGGCCCTGACGCAGCAGGACTACAGGGCCGTGTCCGAGGAGGTGCAGCAGGTGAAGAGGAAGCTGTTCGCTGTGGCCAGAGACTGCATCCAGAGCCAGGTGACGCTGGCCGCACAGGAGTACGAGGTGGCCCAGTCGGCTCTGACGCAGGTACGAGGCTCTGGATTCAGGACACACACGTGGGCTGGTACCCATGTGACGGGGCCGCACGGGTGGTGTCGCTGTTTAGTTAAGGTCTAACCATATATGCTTTACTGGTTAGAAAGGTAGATGGATCGATCGACGTAAGGAAGGAAGGAAGGAAAGAAATGGAACGATGAATTGGTGACTGGATAGAGGGAATAAAAGATGGACGGGATGATGGATTATAATGGAAACAAAAGAAAAGAGGAGAGGAAGAAATAATTAAAGCAGGATAGATAAATGGATGGATGGATGAATGGATAGATAACTAAGGGAGTAAGTAAGGAAGAAAGAATGGAAGGAACAAAGGGAAGGAGGAAGGAAAGATGATAGAAGGATAGTTAAACAAGTATGTAATGTACTTTATTGATCCTATACTTGGTAGATCTTTCTTAACAGGCAGCCCCGGAAGGCACCAAGTATGTAGTTCCTCTGGGAATTGAACCCAGGACTCACTGTTCTATGTTTCCAAGGCGGGAAACCGACAAGATATAAAAACAGGGACCTGGACCCTGAACTCTCAGATTAAACGTCTGACGCTCTACCGACTAAACTAATTGGGCACAAAAGTGACTAGGCCCCAGCGAGAGTTGAACTCGCGACCCCTGGTTTACAAGACCAGTGCTCTAACCGCTGAGCTATGGAGCCAGATAGAGATGCAGGTAGATAGGAGGAAGGAAAGGTGATAGAGGATGGTTTTGTTTGAAAAAATAAATGAAATTCTTCCTTCTGATAGTTAAACAAGTATGTACTTTATTGTTCCTATACTTGGTAGATCTTTGTTAACATGCAGCCCCGGAAGGCGCCAAGTATGTAGTTCCTCTGGGAATTGAACCCAGGACTCACTGTTCTATGTTTCCAAGGCGGGAAACTGGGAAAGATATAAAAATCACCCAAACAGGGACCTGGACCCTGAACCCTCAGATTAAACGTCTGACGCTCTACCGACTAAACTAACTGGGCACAAAAGTGACTAGGCCCCAGCGAGAGTTGAACTCGCGACCCCTGGTTTACAAGACCAGTGCTCTAACCGCTGAGCTATGGAGCCAGATAGAGATGCAGGTAGATAGGAGGAAGGAAAGGTAGATAGAAGGATGGTTTTGTTTGAAAAAATAAATGAAATTCTTCCTTCTGTCTTCGTACAGTACAGTACATTACAGTATAGTACAGTACAGTACATTACAGTATAGTACAGTACAGTACATTACAGTATAGTACAGTACAGTACATTACAGTATAGTACAGTACAGTACATTACAGTATAGTACAGTACAGTATAGTACAGTACAGTACAGTGTTTTTGTTCTTGTCAATCCCTCCGTAGGAAGAACTCAAGGCCCAAATCCAAAATCTGATTCAGGAGTTGTCCCAACTCAAGGATGTCCACAAGAACCAGCTGAGTACCATGAGGGACCAGAACAGTAAACAGTTCTGCAGACCCCGCGCCATGAGCGACGTCGGCCTCTGTCGCCAGTCGTCCGTCCGACTCCAGCGGAGGCTCAGCGGCAGCGTGAGGGCGCTGGAGAGTTACTACGAGCCCCGGCTCCTGGCCCTGCTGAAGAGGAGGCAGTTTGGAGAGGAGGCCATGAGGAAGTACCGGGAGCAGGCCAAGGACCTGAGGAGCAGGCTGGGCCCCCTGAGGGAGGAGTGTCAGAAGCTGGAGGTCCAGAGGTCCTGTCTGCAGCAGAGGATTTTTCTGATGGACAGGGAGAGAAAGGACAGCAACGAACGACACAAGGTAACGAACGACACGGTACTAGAGGAAACGGGGGAAAAAAGTGAGACGTAATGGTTTGACTTTTTCCCTCAGGAAACTGTGGAGACTTTGAGAGAAACTCTGAGGGAACTGGAAATAGAGTCTGAAGTCCAAAGAACATCTAGAAAACATCTGGAGACTCTTAAGGACGGCCTCCTGACAGACCTGACGTTTCTGAGGTACGGTACTGACCCGATCTCTGATTTGACTTCATCCTCAGGAGGAACGGATTAACAACAGGGGTGTCTGATATTAATTTTTTGGCGATGCCTAATACGCCGTTATTGTCCAAACACTTAATTTCCGATTCCGATATCAACCGATACCGATGTAGTGGAGCAGTGATGGCCTGGTGGTTAAGGAAGTCAAGTGCCGCCTGCTCACTAAGGTAATGGATTAAAGCAGAGTTTCTCAATTATTTTCTGCCCCCTAGTGGAAAGAATGAAAAATACTACTAAGGGCCTGGTAACATTTATTTTTTATCTGTACAAACGACTATATGAGTTGCTAGTTCCAGCATTCCGCATACAATCCCCTGATTATTAAAAATGCTGCAATGCTGCCATCTAGTGACTTTCACTTTCATATACAGCTATTTTTCACATCATTTGGCAAAACCTAAGCATTGCGTTATCAGGTTTTCATTATCAGAGGAAAAACTGATAACAATTCTTACAGATATTTCATGATTATGCTAATATCGGGCCGATATTATCGGACATCCCTAATTAACACACATCTTATTTTACAGAAGCGGTGACGAAGCTAACAAACGCACCACCTAATCCAAAAAGATTACAGAAGAAGTCCTTCATCCTGACGTCAACACAAGACCAAAGCAGGACAATATATGTTCTCCGTTAATCAGCTGATACTAAACACTTTTAAATCATGACAAAAGGAGCATTAATTCAGGCGTGGGACATTATTTGATTTCACTGAATTACTCTGAAGAGTATTATTTATTTACTGCAAATAATGTTGTTTTGTGAAAAAAGAGGCAGAACAATTAAATACTCTTCCACAAGGTGGCAGCAGATGGTTAGAAAAACTAAAAAGAAACTCAGAACTATGAAAGATTTTCCTGTCTTCCTTCAATGTGTCAGCACTGTGTTCAACTAAACAGGATTATGGAGTATGTTAGAGGTGGGGTCCCCAACCCCTGGTTCAGGGACCAGTGTTGGTCCGCAGGTCGTTCGGTACCAGGCCGCAGTGAAAAAATGTACTCATTTACTTCATTCCAATAGTATCCAGTCATATCCCTTTAATGTTTTTATTCAAAGATAATCTGTCAATGTCAAAAAAAAAACAGATGGATAGAAAAATTTAAAATGTAATGATCCTTCAACCATGGTGCGGTATTACTGGTCCACAGTAACGGCTGATACGGTTTGACTGGTCCTTGGTACAAAAAACTCAACACGTCAGAAGTGCACCAACTTTTCCGGGAAGGCAATAATAGGTGACACCAGAGAGCAGGATATTTAATGTAAATATTTTATTATGAATATACTTAAGTTCACAAGAAATCTGATGTAGCACAGGAAAAAGACTGAGAAAGGAACAAAAACAGTCAGGTGGAAAATCGCTACTACAAATACCAAACCGGAAAGAAAAAAAGGAAAACCTACAGTATGTACAATTTTGATAAAATCGGTCTGTGGAGAATGGTTTTTCAAAACTAGGGGAGAAGATACCAACTGCTGGAAGTTTGATGGTTCTCCAGACGACACGAGAATGAGTTTGAAGAACTAAAAGGCTAAAAATCTGACAAACACAGACTGTCTTTAAATACGTCACGACATGATGATGATGATGATGGTGGTGATGAAGATGCAGCATTTTATGATTTTTTTGTTTCATCAATTTTCTACAAAACCACTGCTGCCCCAAAATGTATCTTTTTAAAAAGACATAACTCCCTATTCACCCAAACTGGAAAAGTGATCAACGGTCACCGAGCCGGTCAAACCGGGAAGAAACTGGCCTCATGCCTGGACCTCAGAATCTGTAGCACCTTCTGGGTCCTCGTCGTTGTAGATGTTTTCAGCCTGTGGATGGAACAGTGTGACAGGAAGTCTTCAATCAAAGAGTGTTTGGTGATTTTATCTTTAAAAAAATTAAGTCAGAGTCGGTACAACAGAACTCTCACCATCTGCCACACTTGCATGATGTTGTCCTCCGACACGGAGCAGATGACCCAAGGCTCGTTGGGGTTCCAGGAGAAGTCTGAGATTTTGGCTGTGTGTCCTCCGTGAATGAACTGAGGACAAGAGGAAGAGGTTTGACAACAGCACTGACAGAAAAAAAATACAAAAAAACGAACAGACTGAAATAAGCGAGAAACTGGAGAAACTGACCAGCAGCTCAGGAGGACCGTCCTCAGCATCTTCAGGAGACTGTTCCTCTCCGATCTTACTGAGGTCCCACACATTGAGCCTCCTGTCGGTGCCACTGGAGGCCAGGATGGTCTCGTTATGAGGAGACCACTGGACCTGTGAAAGTGATGATGACCAGATGTTAGACTGAAGTGACGCATAAAATGATTAGGGCTGAAAATCTGTTCAAATTTATATTTATTGTGAAGACTCAACATCACTAAATATAATAATAATAATAATAATTTGAATTTGCTAGGAATCGAACACAGGACTCTCTGCTCACTGCTTGTGAGGCAGGTGAGTTATCCGCTACACTAGTAGAACCACTAAACCGCAAATGTGACAGAAAACTACATTTCCTACAAAAATAAATAAATCCTGGCACGGGGGCCAAATAAGGTCCAAAAAAATCCCCAAATCTGGCCCTTGAAAATATACTAAATGGGATAAATGTAAAGTTTTCTCTAAATTATTGAAATACTTAAGAAAAACTTAAGAAAAAAAAATAATTGTACTGCACTTTAGCACAGTACAGTTTTTCTATGTTCAACAGCACATACATCTTTCTTCAACTGAACATTTTCTCCAATGAAATGATGGTGGCCCACAGCTCTTTTGAGACCCCTGCTGTATACTAAAGGTATTGCAGTACAGGAAATAAAGCCGTCTGAGAGAGGATTTGAAAAAAGATCCAACCGTACCTGGAAGATCTCGTCTTTGTGTGACTCAAACGAGTGCAGCTTCAGTTTCAGGTTCCTCAGATCCCAAAGAGCCACGGTCTGGGAAAATAAAATCTGTCACACTCTCACCAAGACCAGATGTTTTTTTAGTTTAACTGTGAGGAAACTGGACACAGAGATTGAACCCACCTTATCTGCGGAGCCGGTGGCCAGGATGAACTCACTGTAAGGATTGAAGGACAGGCAGTTGACCTCGGCAGTGTGGGCGTCCACTGCGTGGCTGGGCTTGGAAGTGTTGTTGGACCGCGTGTCCCAGCTGCAACAAAAAACACTTTTGTTCAAGACTTGAGCGACCAGACGGACAGCGGTCGCCTGAGTTTTAATTTCAACTCACATCATTAGTTTCTGGTCGTCAGCCACGGAGCCAAACAGCGACTCGTGGAGCAGATGCCAGGAAACGTCTTCCACCACGGCAGTGTGGCCTGTGAAAATGGTCTTGGCGTCCACGATCTTCCCCTCCTTGGGCACCGTGCTGATGTCCCACAGGCAGATGGTCTGTAACAGGAAGTAGACACAGTCAGTAACACGTGCTAGAAACCAAAACAACGGCAGAAGAGCAGAGAAGGGCCGACGGCTCACATGGTCATCAGAGGCGCTGAGAAGACAACCACTGAGGTTGGGGTTCCAGGAGAGGCCGTAGCCCTCCTTCTGGTGTCCTCTCAGACGCAGGTCGGGGGTGCACTCTCCTGAAGGGTCTTCGGTGAATACATAAAATTAACACTCTTACACATCTTTGGTTAATTTTTAGATGTTAAAAACAACACTACAAATGACAGATTTCCTTTAAATCGTACCAGGCTTGGAGGGATGCTTTGTGTAATCAAATACCAACACGTCACTGGTGGGGGTTTTAGTGGCAATGATGCAGGGATTCTGAGGCATGTAGCGAGCTCTGTTCACCTCGCCCTCGTGGTTGATCTTGATCTCAATTTCTATTTTACCACTAACAGATCCAAAGCCTCCAAACTCTGAAATAAAGAACAACTTGCGCATAAATTTGTCCTGGAAAATAGTACGTAAAAAAATAGGAGTTAAAATAGAAAACACAGCCGATCCTAGCAGGCATTTGAACACAGGTTATAAATACAGTATGAACATGTGCGGTGAGCAAAATAAAATGAAAAATAAAATGAATACAAACAAACAAACAAACAAACAAACAAACAAACAAACAAACAAACAAACAAACAAACAAACAAACAAACAAACAAACAAACAAACAAACAAACAAACAAACAAACAAACAAACAAACAAACAAACAAACAAACAAACAAACAAACAAACAAACAAACAAACAAACAAACAAACAAACAAACAAACAAACAAACAAACAAACAAACAAACAAACAAACAAACAAACAAACAAACAAACAAACAAACAAACAAACAAACAAACAAACAAACAAACAAACAAACAAACAAACAAACAAACAAACAAACAAACAAACAAACAAACAAACAAACAAACAAACATACATACCCATGTTTTCTGAAGCATTAAAGATTTCAGATGACTTATTAATTCACGCAGATGAACCACCAGCCACAACAACATCCTTATATGAGAACTTCACTACAGCTTGATTTGAATTGAATTGAATTGATTTGAGGAAGCGTGCCGGCTCACCTCCTTTCTCGCTGTCGTAGTGGGAAGCATCGAACTGAGCGTCGTCGTTGGGAAGCTGCACGCTGGCGATCACAAGGTGATTCTGCTCGTCGGAAGTGTGAGTGCCCAGAACCAACCGATGGACGCTGTAGTCCTTACCCTCCGGCCTGTTGGGAGCAACAAACATCACAACAAATATGAAAGAGCTCCTGGTTGAGGCTGTTCCTGGAAACAGATCCGTTTGGATTGACATGTTTTTTTTTTTGGATGGATGGCAAAAAAAAAAACAATCAATCAATTGAAAACATTTTTTTTTGCACAGACAGCTGCATTAGGAAAACACTCCTCAACAGAGAACACGTTTCAAACAAAATAAACAGAATTGTTTCTCATTTTAAAGTAGGGATGTCCGATAATATCGTCCAACCGATTTTATCGGCCGATATGAGCACAATTACGAAATGTCAGTAAGAATCATTTACGCTTTTATCCTTTAATAATAATAATTTGATCTTTATAGATCCCATATTTGGGAATTTTTTTTAAATAAAAAACACATTTGTACTATATTGATCCCATATTTGGGATTTTTTTAAAAATAAAAAACACATTTGTACTACACTGTTAACAGGCTGCCCCTAGCAAGCACCAAGCATATGGTTCCTCTGGGAATCAAACCCAGGACTCTCTGCTTCCAAGGCAGGGGTGCTAACCGCTACACTATGGAGCTGACCAAAATGTGCTGTAAACCCAATAACCCATGATGATGTGGCCTAAAAAAAAGTTTTGAAGTGAAAGCAAATTATTGTCAAACCACTGCACACAATGAGAATGTGTGCATTGTTGGCTGCACATATGGGTATGGCTTAATATTGGAATAGGAAATAAGTGTTTCAACGGATATCTGCAAAAAAGCTAATACCGGACATCCCTATGTTAAATTCCCATCTACGTCCATCCACGAGGGCATGAGAGCGGACACTCACCTGGTGACGTCCGGCAGCCACTGGGCAGTGAGGCTGGGCCACTCCAGGGCATGGGTCATGACCAGGTCATAGAGAAAAGGAGTGTTCTTCTTCCAGATCTTGTACTCCTCATTGATCACCCTCTCCTCCACTGCGTCGTCAAAAGCGGCTGCAGCAAAAGCATTTAAGAAAAAAGAAGATTGTTAACATTAAAACTGCGTCGTCAAAAGCGGCTGCAGCAAAGCATTAAAAAAAAAGAAAAAAAAATTCTTAACATTAAATTTTACACAAACTACACGTACAAGATAAATACTAATGATATTTCCGTGGCTATAAAAAAGGTCATATGACAAAGTTAGATTTGTATCGTACAAACTTAAAATTACTAGACGAATTGGACACATTTGAAACAAAGTTAGATTTGTATCGTACAAACTTTTTATGGTACAAACTTAAAATTTCTAGACGAACTGGACACATTTGAAGCAAGCATGTCAAATTTGGAGAATGATGGATGATGCGGACAACTCTAGTCGGAGGGAAAATTGTGTCATACTGAGCAAAAGTTTTTTTTAAACGTTTTATTTGTATAATTTCCACTATTTTCCACTACTTTTCAAGCAAAAACAAAGGTTAACAAAAATAACACATGATTACATTTAAAGAAAATAAACTATTTACTTGTATTCCAAGGTCTTAGTTTCTATTTCTATCTCTGTTTTTGTAAGGAAGTGGCACAAATGGATTTCAATGAGTCCAATCCATGACATTTGCCTTTTCTGTGATATTTCATTAGTTTAGAAAAATGCTTTTAGTAAATAAGTAAGTCTTAAAAATGTTACATTTTTAAAATGTTTGTTATCTACCAGTGCAGGGTTGGAGTGGACGACACTTTCGTTGTTTCAGTTGTCCTGGTAGACCTGACAAATTGCAGATTAATTTTTAATCTAGACCAGAGGTCTTTGTTTTATTAAACATAGTGTTGAACTACAACGTTTGAACTTTTGTTTCTTACTCGGATTCTTTACACTGAAAAATGTTTGGGTAAGATGAGTTAAAATTCGGTTTTCTTAAAGGTAAACATTTTCCCCTGAAGTCTAAAGGCTTCTGCAAGTGACAGCACAAACTTTGACAGGCATGAATTCAAAGGTACATTTGGGTTTTTAATTCATTTTGCATGTTTAGCATAGCACCCAGGCACATCATTGGTCTTGACTGGGACTCATTGGAAAAGTCGGTCCTTAAAGGAGGGCTGATCATTTTGGAGTTCTGTGCAAAACCAATGGCAGTTTGTAAAGTAAATAATAAGAGGCTCCTCACCTACTCTGATACGTTGCCCAATACAATTTTGAACACTTTACGTTACACTACGTTAATTTTGAATTACACGCAATGCATCACAAAATTATAAATTATTTAAGTCCAACAATTGTATTTGGAAGTATCGAATTCGCGAATTTGGTTCAGTGTTTCGACATGCTGACTTACAGCTAAAAAAATATTAAAGTTGAAAACAAAAGGGTTCTTTAACATCACAATGAAGTGTTAATAGCCCGCACTTGGTGTCTCTTCGCGTTAAGTGCGGGGGATTCCACACTTTTGTACAAAGATAAAAACCACTAACCAGCCAAACGGGTTTTTTTGAATGCATCAAAGTTATCCGTGAAGTGCGTGTAACAAACCCCCGCACTTGTGAAATTAAAACCCCGTTGAGCAGCATGTAAGCGGCTAACCTTAGCTCGTAGCTAACAGGCTGCTGTCTAACAATGAAAAGAGACACTGGCCGGCGCGCCAACCACAGCCACACTGTACAGACTCACACTTCGCGCCACTCTTCACTTCACAGTCACACTTAGTTTTCTGAATGTTACTCTTACCGTCTTTATCGGCCATTTCGTAGCAGTCAAGTTGCTGAAGCGGGAAAATATTAGTATTTTCCGGGAGGGAAGCGCTCTGAACACACCACGAAGGAAAGCAATGGCGCCAACTCCATAGAACGCCAACAACCAATCGGTGTTCAGTCTTACAGACAGGAAGTCATTGTTGTGACGTAGAACTACATCCAGTAGCGACTTCGTTGTGGCTATCTGCTTGTTGTAGCACCAGTAATGGTAGTGTCTATTCGTTTCTATTTTTAATAGGTAAAACAAACTTTTAACATCAATGAACGACCGTGAGTTAGATCTGACTCGGGCACAGGAAGCTGTCAAGTCGAAATATCCTCCAATTAACAAGAAATATGAATGTAAGTTTGGAGTTCTGATTAGAAATGTAGCAATATGCTGTTCTGTAAATGTGACAACTCATATATTGTCGACGTTCTGGCTTCGTTCTCTCGTAACTTTGAGTCTGATTTTGTGACATAAGAACAAGTAATGTATCATATTTGTTTACTTCTCTTCGATTATAGTCGTACAACCACAATTGTCCTAATGGAGTTTTTGGCAAATATAACAGGAGTACAGATCAAAACAGATTGATGTTCCTCCAGTCTTCGCTGGTTGTAAATGACAACACAAACGGCAGTTTTGTCTCCTTCAAACTCGGCAATGAGAAGAGCCTGAAAGGCATTCCATTGAATTGAGTTGATCAGCGATCACTCCAGTGCTTGTTTGTAACAGAGGGAACCACGTGACACCATACTGTACAATCAGTGAGCTCAATACGCAGAGGATAAAGGGCATAATTACTGACTCACTGATTACTTTTATGTCTTCTGTAATGTTTTTTTTACTTGAATTAAATGATTTAACTTAACTCCAAATAGAAACAAAATTGTTATTATTGTACAAAAACACCAAAAGCATTGGCAAAATTCTAACTTGAAGAAACTAGTGTATATGTGTTTGGCTGAAGTCCAAGCAATTACTACTGTAATTAATTTACTTCTCTATCCTTTAAATATCCCGTCCATATACAGTCACCTTAAAATCCTGTTATAACTGAAAACAACCTTCATTTTTTTTACAGATTTGGATCACACAGCAGATGTACAGTAAGTACGGCTTTATTTTACTTTGTAATTTTCTCACGTGCTTTGTCTCTTTTTTTTTTATCTGAGCACATGTTTCATTTCAACAGAATTCACTCCTGGGGGGGAAGTCTGGAAGAAGCCTTTGAGCAGTGTGCCATGGGCATGTTTGGCTACATGACAGACACAGAGACGGTTGAACCGATCGACACAGTTGAAGTGGAATCAGAGGGTGAGGATCGTTGCCCGATCAATTTATCCGATGCCATTGATTTTACATCAACATGTTTTGTTTTGTTTTTCTTGCAAAAGGTGAAGACATGGAGTCACTTCTCTTCCACTTCCTCGACGACTGGTTATACAAATTTAGTGCGGATCTCTTTTTTATTCCCAGGGTGAGTGTGACAGACACTGGTCATATCCTGTTCATTACATTGTGGTTGATACCATAACACAACATTGGTGTCTGAATTACTGATGAATTCATGATTTGTGCAGCCACACAGAATGAATTGATAATAACAGAAAATAAACTCTAACTGATGATTCTTCTAATGACAGGAGGTCAAAGTTGTGCACATTGACAGAATGCGCTTCAGGATTCGCTCCATCGGGTAAGTCTTAATACTTACTTATTATAGTGCGATGGTTCAGTAACACTATAATAATAATAATTAGACAACTACCATCAGACTTCTGAATTCTATCATTACCATTGAGTGTTGAATCCTGCTCTACATCAACCCTGTTTCTCTTGCGATCATTAAAGGTGGGGGGAGGAGTTCTCTTTGGAAAAGCACCCACAGGTAAACTGGTGAAGCAAGTTAACTGAGAGAGAGTATTGTGTGAAGTCAGTCACTCGTAACAAACATGTGTCCCCAAATTTCATTGCAGGGAACGGAGGTGAAGGCCATCACGTACTCCGCGATGCAGATCCACGACAAGGAAAAACCGGAGATATTTGCTATCATCGACATCTGAATGTTGGAACTGGAGGACTGACGATGGAAGTAGTTTTTCTTTTTTTTATCCAAGGCACTGTTTTTTAACCTGTGAGAAATGGGTTTGTACTATTGTTAATAGTTTGACAGAGTACTCTGATCATCACAGGTTATAGACTAATAAAAAAACAAAATTAGTTTATAAATCGGAAAGGTTGCATATCTGCTTTAAGACATACAGATAATTATAAAGGAGTTTATTTTTTTACTTGCAAATTATGTAAGTCTTTTGTAAAATAATTTTGAACTTATACAGATGTCCTATGAACTACTGTAAATAAATCAGATAATCTCTTATAATTCTCTTTGTCTGGATTACTTTGGTTGCTGCTGTTTCTCTTTTGTGTGACCTCGTTATATTATATTTTGCAACTATAATGATGCTGAATAAATAATTTCAAAGTACAAAAAAACATATTTGACTTGTTAATCTACCAAAATCACTACTGACAGAGCAAAATTAAATGTTTTACGCTGTGGAGAAAAAAAAAAGATGACAGTTACAGGATAACAGGATAATGATATGCTAATGCTATCAACTGGTGGACTACATTTTTCCCCTGAGGACACAGGGGTAGCATTAGGCTGTTAAAGTCAGTGTTTATGATAAACTGCTTATTTTTTTATTTTTATTTTTTTTCAAAGAGGTCACCAACCTTTTTTTTTTTTTTTTTCAAAGAGGTCACCAACCATTAGGGTGTCCTTGGGGGACGAAATACTATGAAAGCTCTCGTTGGTTATAATTAAACGTGGCCATAATACATTGTGCATTATTTGAAAAGGTATTTTTGAACATGGCACTGGGTCAACTTAGATACACAGAAATACTTTTTGTTTTTTGTTCTTTACACTATATATATGCGTGGAGATACACAGAAATACTTTTTGTTTTTTGCACTATATATATGCGTGGGGTTGCTTGGCCTGAAAAACATTAACGATACCAGTTTTTCTGAGTCAGTTATACAGTCTGTCTCCCGTTTGTAACATAAACCGTTTACAAATCGAATTTTACGACAAAAACATGATGCGAAGTAGAACTTCGCATTCTGTATTTTAACATTAGAAATATTTAATATGTTTATAACACAACCCCAAATACATATACGTAAAAGAAAATTTAAGGTTTAGCGATTTAAAAAAAAAGGTTTTGGTCTTAGTTTTCTCTCGGTGACGTCACTATCTCAAAGCGGCACAGGCTCCTCCTACCACTCTCAAATGCAGCTGCGCCACCTCTCTTCCTTTGTCCATTGATCCTCGCTGTGGTCTCCAAAATTCGCAACAGGACTAAACGGCTCTTCGGAAAAGGTTACATTTCCGTGCCGTGGTTTCGGTGTAAAGCAAAGCAAACGAATTTTACGAGGCACGTGTCGTTATCCTGTTGGTTTTAGTCCAAGATGAGTCTGTTAAGCACCAGCCCGAGCAACCTGGATTCCACCGTTGAGTCTAACGTTGCACCGAAGACAAACAAAATGGAAGACACCAAGTATCTGCCGGAGCTCCTGGCTGAAAAGGATAGCCTGGACTCATCGTTCACCCACGCCATGAAGCTCCTTTCTGCAGGTAACGGAATCAACAGCCCGCCGTGTCATTGCTAAAGTAGGCTTGGCTGCTGTGGTGTGGCCTACTTTTCTGTTTGCGGCGGCCGGGAAGCAGACGGCGGCTTGAAACAATGGCGCACAGGACACGTGGAATATAAAGACATTTGACTGAGAATAAATATAAAATAGAAACAAAATTCTCGGTTGGATATGTTTACGTTATTAAAAACTTGCCTAACGTGTGTATGTTGTGGAAGATTATATATAATCGCGGTTTGCAAACCGTGATTGCGCTGACTGACCTAGTTGATTCGGTTAAATAACATCACCATCCGATTTAACGAAACATCAACCAGGAATTTCGGTAAAGATGGATCTGTTTTTACTAGTTTTATTTGCTAATTTTTATATTTTCAATTAACTGAATTCGCTTCATTGTCCACAGGTTTACGTTGTATCGTTTGCATTAGTTTCCAGTGATTTAGCTATTTCTGTAAATTTCGTGAAGTCCGATGTGTAGTTAATTAATCATACTTAAAAAAAACAATGTACATGTCCTGTAATTTTCACGATCCGAGTGTCGACTCGACAGGCTTAATATTCGACTAATCGGGATACGATGAAGCCCGATTTTGGCTGATTGGTTTTAGGCGCTTTTTAAATGACGTGAAATATCTTGATTTTTCTGGATATTCATTAGGCGCTTTTTAAATGACGTGAAATACCTTGATTTTTTTTCTGGATATTCCTTCTTAAAAATCCTCATTGCAGAAATTCAGAGGATCCAAACTGGTGGGGGCAAGAAAGAGCCAGAAAAGGATTTGTACCTTGATCTTTTTGCCACCAAGAATCTCAAACTGAAGGAGCGAATACTCATCCCCACCAAACTGTACCCCAGGGTAAGAAGTAACGCAGTATATCGTAGGATTTAAGTCACTACAGAATTTGTAAAAAAAAAACAAAAACAAAACAACTATTGTTGGAGTCAAGTCTGACTTGTCTTGTCTGTTGTTTGACTTGTCTATTAAATTATTTTTCTCTCCAGGTCAACTTTGTCGGTAAGCTTTTGGGACCTCAGGGTAGTACCATCAAGAGGCTTCAGGAAGACACTGGTGCTAAAATCTCAGTTCTGGGTAAAGGGTCCATGAGGGATAAGAATAAGGTAAGTTATTTTTCAACACTAGTCAGAGCGTTATCCCTGTAATCTTTTGTAATGTATGTTAAATATATATATTTTAATGTTGTCCAGGAGGAGGAGCTGAGAAATGGTGGTGAGGCTAAATATGCTCACCTGTCCATGGAGCTTCATGTGTTCATTGAAGTGATGGCACCTATTCCAGAAGGCTACCTTCGAATGGCTCATGCCATGGAGGAGGTCAAGAAGTTCCTCATCCCCGTACGTATCCCCACGGTGTACTACGTTCAGTATGTGTTCTATTAAGAGTAAACTGTTGTCTGATCACTTTGTTCTTGTCTGAAGGAGCCTGGTGAGTATGACATGTACATGGATCCTCACTTCCTGAATGGATCCCAGGATGGCAGGGGTCGCGGTGTACCCGGAAGGGGAAGAGGTGGACCACCAGGAGCTGGAGGACCCAGGTACGAGCTCGAAGCAATCGAAATCGACTGGTAGCAAAAGCGTGTTCCCGTTCAAGATATGACGGAGCGCATGTTGAACATAGTCTTGACTGTTTTCCCAGGGGACGGGGAATGCCCCGCGGCGGACCCCGAGGAGCGATGCGTGGAGTTGCTCCACGAGGAGGACCAGTCCGAGGCACCGCTAGAGGTGGTCCGTCTGGTAGGGGTGGTTTGCCTTCTGCGCCAGCTAGAGGAGGCTCAGCGCCCCGTTCTAGACCTCCAGCAGCAGGTGCCCCAAGAATGCTCCCCTCCGCAGCCATGTCCCATCAACAGGTCACTTCAGGGTCACAGGCCAAGCCTGACGCCTACGAGGAATATGTATGTTACCTGGTTTTATTTATTTATTTTAATTGTTGCTTTTCCCAGAGTTGGTGTTAAATGTGTCAAACCTTTTTTTCCCCCAATTTTTTTTTGCCACAGTCATCATACGACGACTCCTACGCAGAGGTGCCCTACGAGGGATATGACAATTACTACAGCCAACAAGCGGCTCCAGCGTAAGTTGGGACGAATCATATTATTTATTTATTTTATTTTAAATACTGCTAAATCGATTTTACTGATTATGTCAATGTATTCTTAGTGACACTGAGTATTACGACTACGGACACGGCGAAGCACAAGAGGCATCGTACGAAAGTTATGGTAAGTTGTTTCTCCTCCTTTGTTTCTGAGCACCAGTGATGGAGGGTGAACTCTGCTGCGATGTTTGTGCCAATCTACCAGTGTCACTAATACGACTGTGTCGTCTTCTTCTAGGTCAAGACGAGTGGGACAGTTCGTGGACAAACACTGCCGGTGGCGGCAAAGTGCCATCTTCCAGGCAGACGAAGGGACAGTACAGAGACCATCCCTATGGAAGATACTGAACACCTACTGGTAGAGAGTTGCTAATGCAACTGTCTCCAAACGGTTGCTCACTTAACTTTTGAAAAGTAATTTCCTTCCCACTCGTTCTCCTTTTCTATACTTTTTTTTTTAACTTCATAGATGTTTAGACAGATGTATCATAGAAACTAAGTATTTTTTTTTTTTGTTGCGGTTGCGTTGTTGGAATTTAAGGTCCGAGTTACATAAACCATAAAATAGTGACATTTTAGTAACCCTGATTCTTTTCAGTGATTGTGGCGATAGACTCATCAAATACGCTGCTTATCAAAAGTCCTTGACGACTGGGCGCAAATTAATCCTTACGTCTCGATGTTACATACGTCTGTTCTAGTTGAACTCCAATAACAGACCTGCAAAAGTAGTTTTTCCATTCATTACCGCTCAAATCATATGGAACAAAATTAGTGCCTAATTGACCAAAAATGCTCAATTATTGCTGTTGATAAAAAAAAGTGACAGTCCGTCAATTTTACTTGAGACAATTATTTTTGCTGAAAAACTCATTAAGCTTAAGGACCAGCTGCAGCCAAGTCAATAGTTTGTACATAAGACAACTGTGTATGCTTTCAAGTCGTGCCGTCTCCAAAATGCATAATGCTTGTGTACTTTGGGCTAAATAGGATCCTAAATATATTCCAAAATGTTTCTTCTGCAGTGCGTGTTTCAATAAAGTTTTTAGTTTCTGTTTTTTTAAAAACAATCTAAACCTGGTATTTTTGCCTTTTGTTGTACTTAAAAAAAAAAAAAAGTTGCTATAGCTTGTGGAAGTTGTTTTTTCAACCCCAGAATGAGCTTTATGTATACGTGTCAGCGTTATTTAGAAGATAAAGAAACAAATCAGTGTTTTTGCAAGTGAACTTATCGCCATTATCTGTTCATCAAAACGCATCTAAATGACATCTGTAAACAAAAAGAAGGAAAAAAGACAGAAATAAAGCTCATCATTGAAATAATGTGCTGCCAAATACATGTTTGACTTGAAAATGATTTAGTGCTTGAACTTGTATGTCATTAACCTTTAGTTAGTGCATCTCTTTAAGCTCTCGAGAGCATACTCCATCTTCAACCGCTTGAAGTAACTGAATTTCAACAGTATTTCAAATCAAGCTTGCAGGGATCTTACTTGACTTTGAAGCAAAGTCATGCTGGCTGCTTTTTATAAAAGACAAAAATCGCATTGGAGGGGATTCTAAAAGCCTAAAGATCGCCACAAGAAGGTAAAACTAAACCCAACACTCATTTCTTAGTTTTCTGTATTTTTTTTTCTGTGCAAAATATCCAGTAATTTAAGTCATCAAAAAAACTCAACCAAAACACTGAAGTACAAAAATATGCTACCAGTAGTTAACCCGAGGGAAAAACAAACATAAAAACAAATCAGAAATGGTTGTGATGCAACTCCAAAAATCCAATAATGTTCTTAAATATTATACAATACCTAACAATTTATATCTGCTTTCTGTAAAGTATTTAAATAATAGTTGGACCTTAAGCGTAAAAAAAACAGCTTGACAAAACAAATTGGTGGACAAAATACTCTTCAGCCAGAGTTGCACGATATTGCTGGAAAAAAAACGTAGTTTGCATGCGAGTGTTTGTCTGTTTCCATGTTACTGTTGCCACAATCTTATTTCTTTTTCTCCTCTCAGGTTGCCACATGGCGGTGTCGGCGCCGCGGGCACGGATGAATGAATGTGTCGGCGCCGCGGGCACGGATGAATGCCAATAAGCTGACGCTAAGACAGGTCAGATGTGAGAAGAAAGATGTCACTTTGCTGACTTGAACTGTTTTGTAACTTTTTGTTTTGTCTTTTCACAGGATCGATACATTGAAAAGAGCACAGAGTCTACAGTATCAAAAATGACGGGTCGGTCTGGGGTTACTAATGTGAAGAGAGCATTCTCCTTTACTGAAAGAATGCTCTGAAGGCAACCCTAGAGAAATATCTTCATTTTCAATTTTTTTAAAGTTAGATTTTTTTTAACAAACATTCTGTTTTGCACTGAAAAGTCATCTTTTGTAGAGTTATTTTTTTAAATAAATACTTTGTACTGAATGATTGTGTTTTCCTTACATATAAGAGTGAAAGTTACTGCAGTTATTCATGTTTGCAGCAGGTTGGAACAATAGCAGTATAAAAGATGGTAAATGTCTTTCATCAAAAAAAGTCACATAAACCAAGTGTTCTGAACAGTTTTGACCTTGAGGCCCAATTTTTATAGTACAAAGTGTCCCAATCAATTTGGTCTTTAAGGAGGTCCGCACCACATTCCTCTTGATTATTTCTTATTTTAGAAACCTATTCAATCTATTTGCTACAGCTAGCGCAGAGAAAAAGGTAGTCTTCCATATATTGGAGCTTGTTAAAGATCTGACTGATTATTGGCCCCATGTGGTCGAAAGCTCCATTATCACCTAACCTCTCATGGGAAAAATTCTCTGGAGTCTTCCGATCTGACTGATTATTGGCCCCATGTGGTTGAAAGCTCCATTATCGCCTAACCTCTCATGGGGAAAAATTCTCTAATAATCTATGCGGTCCAGCGTCCCACAGGTGCAAAACTGAAAGTTTTTGGCGGCCCTCTAGGTGGCACTAGTGGCCCAAGTTTGGACCTCGGCCCTATGGTTAAGAATAACTGGTGTAGGCTGGCTTCAAGTGAACAGGTGCATGCTTCTAAACATTATGACAGCAGAACAGATCTTTCTGAAGATGGCGCCCCTTAACATGTATATAAAATATAGATGGGTAGATGATGTAGATCTAAAAGTGACGCACAGAGAGGTGCTATTAAATAACAGACCAAAGACTTTGGCCTCTTTCACTGGATAAACTATGGATTGGTACAATTAGTAAAAACTTTTGTTTTACACATGAGGAATGTTATGCATTACAAGGTCAGAGGTTGGTTCAATTCCTCAACTCTTTGTTTACTACTGCTAATTGTAAAAAGTAGGGAAAAGGTTTAGGCTGAATGTGCCGATGACTCCTGGAAACTCTGGGCAACTTGGGATTTCTGCTTACATGCTGCATAGCCGTGTGTTTTCAATATATATATATTTAAATGACACATAATGTATAAAGTCCATTTCTGGACGGTGCAGTTGTGAACATGGGTCATTGTTTTACTGAAATGTTGCTTTAATGGACGAATCTCCACCCACTGGTTGCTATCGCGTCCGCGCCCCCCTCCATCCAGCTTCCAGCCTCACATCAACAATGGGTGTCCTCGCTAGTTCCGCTGACAAAAAGGCCGGTATTTTATTAAAAGTGAAGACAGAATAAGCCGCGACTGTGTTGACAAAGTTGTGCCGGAGTCCCGATAAACGTACGCTGCTGCTGCCGGTGGTAAGATCACGTTTATACTCCAGCCTGTGGCTTTGTATCACCAACAGCTAGCTCGCTTGTTAGCCGCAAACACAGTTAGCCTAGGCCCAAATCTTTGTATTTATTGGAGCATGGCGCTGCTGGACACACTAGGACTGTGTCCGTCATTGTTACACGACCACGCTGTGTCCACATTCTGCCTCGTGTCTCACATTAAACACCATTTTGCATACATTTGTACCTGTAGTGGGGCTACAATTTAGCACAGCAGCTAACCTGAACTGTCAGCTTCCGCAAAATAATAACCTTATTCAAAACATTGTGATGCATTCAGTGCGAAAGGTTTGGTTGGATGTTAGGGGCGTGTTCTTCACCACTTCTTAAATTTTTTATATATATATTATTTAACATTGTTTAGTTTTTAATTGAGGTTTATGTCAGTATTGTCTTTTGTTTACCACTCCTTCCACTATCAGCCCTGTGACAACCGTCGTTGACTCATCATTTAATCTTTGATGCTTTTGTCGCTAAACCTTTTGCAGTAGATCTGCTAACACATGACTAAAATATAAGTTATTTGAATCTCTTAATCCGTAAGTCAACATCACAAATATCATGTATAGTTTGTGTCTCTTCAGGTGACACAAAAATAAAAAAATAAAAAATAACGTGCGGTTCCATAGTGTAGTGTTTAGCACGCCTGCCTCGGAAGCAGAGAGTCCTAGGTTTGATTCCCAGAGGAACCACATTCTTGGCGCCTGTTGGGGGCAGCCTGTTAACAGCATATCTGGTGTTAAAACAAGAATTTCACAAATATGGGATCAGTATAGTTCAGTTATTATTATTATCATGAGTTATATTAGCAGCATATATATTATCCAATGCATATAAAAAGGACAGAGGATAGAGATTCTTAGGGTAACAGTGGACGACGATGGGGCAACAAAGATGGAGAAGCCAGAAAGTGCCTGAAGAATTATTTTTAAAGGAAAACATTAGTCAACCTGCTCAAAAATCCTAGGCACATGTTAGAAATTAAAATGAATTCAAGTGTCTGATCAGATGGAAATGATCCAAACAGACACTGACTCAGTCTGTGACGTGTCCTCCGGCAGGGATTTCACAAAGACTCCCGCTTTTAGCAGCTGTGGATAACAGCGGCACAGCAGAACTCCACTCGCAGCTGGTTGAAGTGCGGCGAGAGTGTGACTGCTATGGCCGGCGGAAGAAGAGGATCCAACCGTACTGCATACTGCCGTCCTCCACTCAGCAGCGAACCAGGATCAGTCAGCAATGGCAACCACTCCACCAGTTCCCCTGTGACAGGTGTGCGGTCCCGCGCTAGGTGAGTTCAAGTCGCCCGCTTCACTGCTTTTTTTTATTGGACCTACCGGGGACTGTAATGGTCTAACGAGGATGTTGTGTGGTTGAAGGAACGGGTCTGGGACCTGCATGTCCAGCCCCCCGCTGGCGGCACAGACGGTGGTCCCTCTGAAGCACTGCAAGATCCCAGAGCTGTCGGTGGATTGTAACGTCCTCTTTGAGCTGCACCTTTTTATCTGCCACCTCATTGGCCTGTTCGTCCACTATGTCACCATCTACAAGACTGTATGGTGGTATCCTCCGTCACATCCTCCCTCACACACATCGCTGGTGAGTACCAGGTGGTTAGGTGTGGACTTATTTAACTAGCTGTTACAGTGCAGTAACGCAGGGCAGGCATGGCCAACCCGTGGCTCGGGGGCCACAAGTGGATCTTTGCCCGGTTTCATGCTAAATTTTGGCGTTGACGCAAATGACTTGGAGAGTTTGAAATAGTTGAGAATAAAGCAAAATATTTGTTGTCGTTTTGCAGAATTTTCACCTCATCGATTACAACATGTTGGTGTTCACGGTCATCGTACTGGCCAGGAGGTTAATTGGAGCGATCGTCAAGGAGGTGAGAAACTCAACACTTTCACTGTTTTCATATTTCTGGGTTTAAAAAACACAAGTTCAACTGTTCCCGACACTGGAGCTGGTGAAGCAGGTTTGACTGTGTTTTTATGGCTCAGTAAAATCACCTGATTCAAACCATAAAACCCACTGCACTTGTTCTTGCCTGTAAAGCAGGGATGCTCAACCAAAGGGCTGCAGGCCAGTACTGGGCCACACAGACGAATACATTTTCTTTTTTTCTTCTCTTCTTTAAGTCAGTCTGTGTAGTATTTTATTTTGAAAAATGATCACTTCCACCCACTCTTTAGTATCAATTTAAATGATAATATAATGATAATATAAATAAAAGTGTATTATATAAGATTATATTTTAGATTATATTTTAAGTTATATAATAAGTTATATTTACATTTTGTATGTAAATATATTTTGTATTATTATTGATGCACCGTATTATTCTTTGTTATGCACGTGACCTCCCCCATACACACCTCCCCACTGTTGAAATGTTTTTTTTTTTTTAATAAAACCCCTTGGTGGTGCAAAAATGTTAGACACACTGCCTTAAGTAATTTTTTTTAATTTGTCATTTCCCTGTTCGCCACTGGTTAATGCTCTGGTTTTCTGTCTGTTCCAGGCGTCACAGAGTGGAAAACTCTCGTTTCCTCATTCAATTTTTTTAGTGATGGCTCGGTTCGCAGTTCTGACACTGACGGGCTGGAGCCTGTGCCGCTCCCTCATTTACCTCTTCAGGACTTACTCTGTCCTCAGTCTGCTCTTCCTCTGCTACCCGTGAGTAACCAACGTGAAGTGTCTGTTAATCACAGCGAGCTCTGCTTCCACCCAGTGGTGAAGTTCAGTTTAATGGGACAAGTTCTGGGATTAAACTGTCAAATGTCCTGACAGATAAAATTATATAATCATTAAATATATAAATTATTATTTATTATTATTATATTCATATAGTAATTAAACATAAATATCCCTAATATCCCAAAGGGAACTCCCAAGGGATTGATAAAGATCAATCTATTTATCTATCTATCTAAAAAGTACTAAAAATAATTAGCGTTGTTATTTACAGATTTACCCTTTTTTTTTATTTTCACTTTATTAAGTATCGTTATCGAATTATATATTGAAATCCAGCTCTACTCTGACTGGTTTGGTCCCTGGTTTAACTAATAATTATTTATCATTTATTTATTTGTCAACTTCTACTTTCATTAGTGACTTGTTTTCTCATTTGAAAAGAGACTTCTTCGTCATTAAATCGTCCCCTTTTTTTTCCCCCACAGATTTGGAATGTACATCCCGTTCTTCCGTCTGAACTGTGACTTCCGTAGAGTAGGTCCACTCTCGCCTATCGCCAGTATCGGCTCCAAGGAGGTGGGGGGCATGGGCCGGGGCAGGGACTACCTGACGGTGCTGAAGGAGACGTGGAAGCAGCACACCAGCCAGCTGTATGGCGTCCAGGCAATGCCGACCCACGCCTGCTGCCCGG